AAACTGATTTAGTTTTGTCATATTTTATTGCTGCTACTTGGTACATCCTTGGTTATAAATTTTGAGAGGAAAAATACATTGAAGTTTTTTCTTTCTTTTGTTCTAGCAGGAAATTTCATTAAAACAGTGAATTCTTGAATGTTCTTCATCTTTATTGTCTTCATTGTAAGTTAGCAAATGTATAGAACAACCTCAAGATAAAATTAGTCGTTTGTTGCAGCCCTAGCGCTCAGTAATTGCTTATGTATACACTGTAAAGAATTTTGGCAATTTCTACAATAATGCACTGTATAATGTACTGCATATGTTTAAAAATGTTATACGGTATTCCAGCATGCTGATTTCTGGGAAACAATAACAATGCAGGCAGATTATATTGTATCTTATTGTATGGCTACTGTAATATCATTGTAACAATATTATAATAACACATCATAACATACAGTACCATTAGCTAGACTTAGCTTTTAACCTAGAACTCCAAAATGATCTGTATGCATTCTGGACACTCGCCAGTTGTCAGCACACAAGCTGCTCACATATAGCCGTGTGGAGCTAAATGAGGCATGACAGATATTCCAAAAAACTAGGATCATCATCCACATTGCCTGCAGTAATGTTGAGTGTTTGGGAAAAGCTTTTCCTCGCAGCTTTAGTCAGCTGACAAATCCTAAGCTGTACTGAACCAAATTTTGATGAGTCCACAGTAAAATGCTCACTATAGACTCCTGTACTCGGTGTCACTTCAACCAAAATCCAAAATACAGATAATAAGCCACTTAGACCCCCAGAATGTCTTCAAATGGAAATTCTGAGGTGTCTTTGAATATAAACGCATTATGTTTTGTATGATTAATATGTGTAAGGCTGCATTCCCAAACTAGAAAAGAGCATTTCTTAAAGAAGAATTGGTAAACCAAACATTTTGCTTCCATTAAAGCTAGCATCAGTGAGTAGCTGCTATGGCAAGTGAGATGCAGACCAGCCAACATGGGACCTGAATACCAGGGGGTATTTCACACATGGACATGGCCAGTTTGCTTTGATCTCATTATTAAGGATGGACTGCAGAGAGTTATTGAGCTCTCACACACCCCAAAAATTGAGCATTTGAAATCAGAGCCATCATCTAAAGAATTTTCACCTTAAAATGACAATGCTGTCACTGTACAGATGAAATTAAAGTGTGCACATGCTAAATATTTGCATGTGTAGATGGCCAAACGTTTACATCAACAGATGACAGTGCCTGACACCTGTGCATGAGAACTGTTGTCATGTGCAACAGAAATATATTGACGTTAATAGTGGCAAGATTTTATGGGTGTCATTGCTGGTTTAAAGGGGAAATCCACTGTTTATCCTAAATTTCTTTATAAGTCACTGGATAAGATGTAAACAAAGCCATTCAGAGTGGTTTCATGTGACATGCTCCATTCTAGAGAATCCTATCCAGTCAGAAATGTTCACAGTGGTGGTGATAGGAACCAGACATCTAAAGAGTTTGATGCCTCTAAAAGCTACATCACAAAGTTATTACATGAATGAAATGATTATGAACACACTGCCTCATGCCCAAGCCATTCTCCTTTGATAGTTTTTAGATAAACCTTTGAGCTTCAATGTACTGTATTAAAACCATCAGTGGTAGGGAGGTACATGCTATTTTATCTACATCAGCATTAACATATAAAAACTCAGAAAACACGCGTAGGTTCACTGGTGGTTTTGGATAGTAAATAAAATGGCTACATCTGTGCTGTAGGTTTCAGGACCACTAGTTCCCATTGCCACCACAGTAAGGAAATAAGTACGTTTCTCTACAAAATAACCATTTCACATTAAACTACTCTGAATGACTTTGTACATCTTTAAAGCTGTACGTTCTAAAAACGAGTTACCCTGGAATTGCACAGAAGTCCGCTGCTGCTCCCTGCTGGACCAAAGAGGTACTAAAAGCATCTGACCCGCTCATCACATGTATATATAGTATATTAAATGTAGCACATGCAAATTGTGCTCAACAGTATACATACTCAAGACAGCACACAGCATATTTTATGTAAAAATAGGCTTCTACCTTCATCGTTCAGAAAGATGAACAGTGGGCTCCTTATTCATGATTACTTATATTTGAGTGCAGTGGAGGATATATGAGCTGCACGTTTACGTACTACAGTAAACACTGCAATTTATTTTAGGAAGTGAGGAAGAATATATTTCTTTATTTTTATATATTCTTTTTATGTTTAATTTTCCACAATTTTCCAAAACTTCTTAATGCCTTTTATTTCATTTTGTACCCTAAAAACTTTTAATAACACTCTTAATCTGTAGGAGAATCTCTTACTCCTCATGTCTGCTGTGTTGTATGGAGGACCAGATTTGCCAAAATGAAAAATAAATACAATTAAAAATAAATGACTTAGTAAATTAATATATGAAGCAGAATTGCAAAGAATAATGATGATAAATCTAAAAATAAATAAATATACATAACAATTAATATATTAATAAATAAAATCTTATATAAATTAATGTCTGCATTTATTTATATGTCTATTTAGTAATTTCCCCTCCTCACTAATTTTTGTATTTATTTTTTTGTTATTTATATGTTTCTTTATTAACAGTTTTTTGGTTTTTCTATTAATTTATTTTATTCATTTATTTCCATAACTATTAATTTCTATATTTATTTATTTCTCTATTTATTTCTGTATTTCCTTGTCCTTATGCTAATAAAGGGGCTGTCAGTCAATGATGTCACAGCGTCTTAATATTCCTATTGGCTGATCGATGTCAGATTCTGGAGATCGATTGTACATGTCTTGCTCTCTCAGCGGTAACTAAGGACTAGACAGTACAGTAACGGCTGCTCACAGCAGCAGACAGTCAGAGATCTGAGAGTCTCGGCTGATCTGGCTGAAAATGCAGGTCTGGATTATTGACTCTTCCGTTGGAGGCTGTGGGGACAGTTTGCTCCATTTTGCTGCCTCTGCTGATACAGAGGTCGACCACGTAGTGTTCAGAACTTAGGAGGAGGTGGTTCAGCGTCTTTTTCTGCAAAATTCAGATTAAACTCAGACATTTGGACGCCTTTCTCACATACGGCCTGTGGAAGCCATCGAGAGTTATTTATCGGCAGGTGTGTCTGTTCGTGGCACTGCAGCTCTTTATGGAGTTGGTGAAAGAGCAGTTTAACCAGCTCTTCTCTTCTTGGTCTTGATTGCTAAGCCTGAACGTGAAAAACACGCCCCCTCATTATCATATGAACGAAGAAATACAGAAATAAATAAATGAATTAATGAAAAAATAAACGAATTAATGAAATAAGTCAATAAATGGATATGTGAATCAATGAATAAAGTGAACAATTGTTAAAAATATAGATATGGAAAAAATGTAAAAATGGCATTAATAAAACAAAATAAATAAATTGAGAAATATATAACTTCAGAAAAAGGAAATGTGTATAATTACAATCACAATAAGCAATATATACTTTATTTAGGTTTTTTTATTTATTGATTAATTTACTGAGCCATTTATTTTTTTATTTTATTTATTTTTTTTTATTTGGCAAATCTGGTCCTTCATACACATTAGCTGTTCAAGCAATAGAACAGAGAGGGAGTGTGTTATCGCGAAATAACATCACCTGTAGACCATCACAGCAGTGATGTTATACCGATAACACACGACCTCGAGTGTTCTGTTGCTTTTATACAACAGTTAAATAAATAAAGTAATAAATTAATAAACTGGGCCGTGAACGCGGCGTTTCATATGTTTTAATGTTCGCGATTCCTTCCGCCAAATTATAGTTCCTTAACAAGCAGCTCATTGCAACGTCACAGTAACGAGCTCCGCCCACTCGCTGCACAGCCGGCAGTTCGCTCTCCAGCTCCACACAGACCAACTGACAGTTTGGGAATTTGGTGTCGTCTGATCTTCAGAGTCTGACCAAATCGGCTGTCGGTCAAATGTGATCTTAAAAGTGTCCATTTTCTGTTTGTGGCAAAGTAAGCAGTAAAAACATTCAAATGGCTTGAGCGTCACCTGTCAAAGTCGTTGCTTAGCAACGGCGTCTCAGCGGAGTGATACAGTGTTTGTGAAAAACCCGTGATGTTATGGCGAAATAACAGCGCGGTTAGAACGCCTCTCAACCAATCAGCTTGCGTGGCCGGAACTAACTGTTGTATAATACTAGTCAAGACACCACACTTACCTTCTCTGGAGATGAATCTCAAGTTTTAATCGTCTTAAATACGCTTGATGTTTTTTCCAGGGCTTCTCGTCTCTGTGTGAATACCACACAAAGTGAAGTCGTGTATGAGCTTCAATCGGACAAGAGCTCCATTCATGGAATTCAGGTGAAACAGTGTGTTAATTATTCTGGTATAGATGTTTTTGAATCGAGCAGTGAGAGTACACTTAAAGATTTTCAGCCTAGACTGAGTAAATTAAAGAACATATTCAATTGCTGGCTGAAAAAGAGATGTAAATGAAAAGGCGGCCTTGGTGTAAAACTGTAGGAAATCCATAGAACTGTGAGCGGGTCAGATCCTCCGTGTGGAGCTGTAATACCTCTGCGGTCCAGCAGGAAGCAGCAGCGCACTTCAAGAAACTGCAGCGTAGATCATTTTAGACCTACAGCTTTAAAAGGGCGTTAACACTAACAATTCTTCAGACACTCAGGAACTCCTGGCCTTTTTCATACATTGCTTATTTTTTATATGTTCGTGGACTGAACTCCTGTTATTTGTTATCTCTTACCTCTGGTTCTGTTTCTCCTTTTCTTGTTTCTGTCGGGTTATTTATTTATTTTCTTTTACAAACCAAAATATTTTAATAGAGAGCTCTAAATCCAAAAAGGGTATGTGGCAAATGCAGTCATTTTTAAAAATATTAATCTTTGTTGTAATATGTAACCAACACCAAATGAACAAAACTACATATACAAAGCAACAGAAAAAACAAGACGAACAGCAAAAGAATTAAGGGGGGGAGTTGAATTTTATTAAGAATTTGATTGAATAGGGGAAATTTAGCATGTCCAATTGGCCTGACTGCATGTCTTTGGATTGTGGGAGGAAACCGGAGTACCCGGAGGAAACCCACGCAGACACAGGGAGAACATACAAACTCCACACAGAGAGGACTCTGGTCGCCCAGGCCCTTCTTGCTGTGAGGCGACAGCGCTACCCACTGCGCCACCGTGCTGCCCGAAGAGCAAGCAAGAAAATGAAAATAAATCAACTACTGCAACTAACTAATAAACCTAAGGATTTATAGTCAAGAGTAAAATTTAAAAGGTCAAAAATAAAATTGAAATAGTCAAAAGTAAAATTTATATAGTCAAAGTCAAATGACATGAACTACTAAATATCAATCAGTGAAAGAACCCTAAATGCCGTAAAAGTGTTAGAAAGCAAAGGGCAACATTGTATATGTCTTTTGTCTGAGATGTTAAGTTCTTGAAGTTTAGGCTTTCCCCTTCCTTCCAAATCAGCAGCACAGCAAACACCACAAGCACAGCTGCACCTAACAATTTGAAAACATAGCTGTACATAGGGTTCTAACAAGTTTAAGTGATTTCATATGCAAACAAACACAATACAAAGACAGTGTTGCATACCAGCCAACAATAGAAAGGCACGAAAAGGCCATCCATCAGAGCCCTCAAGATTAAGATTTGAAAGCTTGATGTTGAAAGAGAATTCAAAGAGAACTCAGTCAAAACTTGGTAGTCATTAATATTATTAAAACATTTCTAAAAATAGAATTCTTTTAACATAAAAAGCTTGTTCCAAAGTCTGAATTCTAACTTTCTGAATGTACCGTAATGTCTAAGAAAGCTGTTCTTACCTTTAAAGATAGACTTTTTTCTTCATTTTTTACCATTTTATGTTTTTTTTTGTCTTTTTTTTTTTTGAACAGGTTTCCTGTATCGGCGAGCTTTTATACTTTACTGGACGCTGCCCTTTCAAGTTAGATGGGTTGTACAACCAATCAAATAATCATGCATGAAGAGGCGGGCTCATAGGCTGGTGAACTAAAGGGACAACGCCTTAAATCCTGACATGTCATAGCAATAAAAAAACATTTAATGTACTTGTTTTTTAAATGGTTCAGAGCTTTTTCCTGTCATAAACTCAGTTTTGTGCTGCTGTTTTGTGAAACATGAAAAACTGATCATTGTTGCATTTTGCTGAAACAAACATGATATGACTGTCAAAAGGTTCCAGATTCCAGCCTGAACTGCGTGAGAGTGTGTTTAACAGAACAAACTGGCTCATCAGGTAACACCATCATCAAGTGTCAGGACCTCCGCGTTCCCCAGCTTAACCTTCCAGGCACAGCAGAGTGGAGTTGTATAGAGACACTTAGAATGAATCTCAGTTCAGTTTATTTATTTCTCTCTAAATTTACTGTCACTGAATATTCTAACCATCATGTAACTCTGCCACTGGTCTGTGCAGCCAACTCTGGTGTCCTTCATGCTCTGTACTGTCACACAACTTTAATATTATTCTCAGTACAGCTCTCTGTCAAAGTAAAGCTATTCAGCTAAATGAGACTCAAATCTCATCTATGGCTAAAAAGCAATGAATGTGAATGTGGACTGTTCTAAGAACTACTAAAACAATGAAGTATTCAGACCTGGGATATTTATAAGGATTATGTTATGATCTATTTAATCCCAATTAATGAATTAATTGAGATAGTAATAATCAAAATATATACAAAATCATCATTTACAGAGTATTTTCTAATGGGAGCTGTCTGTCCCAAACCCTAATGCCTAAATTTACATTTGTGAAAATAATCAGTTTTTCTTAAAGATCTTTTTTGAGTGAGTTGAAAGATTTAGATTTATCACAAATTAAACTTTTAAATAAAAAAAACTTTATTCAAAAATGCTGTCTCACGTTTTCATGTCACTACAAAAACACAAAGAGTTTCATTCTATAGGCGGAGCCTTCTTTTAGCCATGCCCCTGCATCCCTGTCCCTCATGATGAGCAGTTAGAACCCATTGTTTTGAAGTAAATGTGTCCCAAAGTCTGAAAATCTGTGTGTAACGTTAAGAATCTTCACTACTGAAACACATACAGTCTCCTCCACAAATACAGGCACCCCTGAAAACGATGAGTAAAAAGGGTCAAGAAAGAAATTCTGTTTTGCTGAATTAGCAATAGAAGTCATTTTATTCTAAATAAAAATAAAAATCAATAAATATTTTTTTAAATCATTTTTACCAAAACCACATGTGCCACAATTATTGGCACCCCTAGAAATTCTTAGAAACACAATGTAACTGAAGCATTTTTTTCCATTCATATTTTCCTTTTTTAAGTTGATCAGAGAGTCTAGGAAATTTCAAACAGTAATCAGCGACTTCCTGTTTCACTGGGGTATATATGTGAGGTGACATAGAGGTCAAATTCCCTTGTGTTCGAAATGTCATACTCTGTACTATATACTGCATGTTGCGTCAGTACTGAATACTGCATGCTACTCTTCATCAGTAGTGTACAGTACAGTATCCAGTATATGACACATGCCATGTGCCATACTACAGGGCAGGTGTGCAAATAGCCTTCCAACATCCGGCACTGAGCCAATCAGAACCATTTCAAGACCTGCTCCACTTTCCTCAGCCCTCCAATCACTGCTTAGTAACCGCTGCTAGCTGCTTCTGGTCAAGAGATGTGTGACTTTTAAAAGACACCCCAAACCATGACATAGAGCAGGACATTGCTTTTTACTCATCTCCAAACCACTAATAAACTTTAAAAAATGTCACCTTTGCATTCATCGGTGTGGTAAACCTGTGTGGTTTCTAAACACACCTGTTTTCCTCCATTTGTGAGTTATTTCATTTTCATTACATTTGTAGTTGGTAATCTGAGCTGACTGAATAATAAACAGTGTGACACACGAGCCTGGAAATGTCATGCTGAGTGTATTGTTTGGCAGAGTTACTGTTTGGCCCACATTATGCAGAATGCAGGGCTGGATCATTAGTAGGGGTATGGGGATGAGGAGACAGGGTTGGTTCATTGGTAGGGGTATGGGGATGAGGAGACAGAGTAGGGTTCATTGGTAGGGGTATGGGGATGGGGAGACAGGGCTGGTTCATTGGTAGGGGTATGGGGATGAGGAAACAGGGCTGGTTCATTGGTAGGTGTACAGGGATGAGGAGACAGGGCTGGTTCATTGGTAGGGGTATGGGGATGAGGAGACAGGGCTGGTTCATTGGTAGGGGCATGGGGATGGGGAGACAGGGCTGGTTCATTGGTAGGGGTATGGGGATGTGGAGACAGGGCTGGTTCATTGGTAGAGGTATGGGGATGTGGAGACAGGGCTGGTTCATTGCTAGGGGTATGGGGATGAAGAGACAGGGCTGGTTCATTGGTAGGGGTATGGGGATGAGTAGACAGGACTGGTTCATTGGTACAGGTATGGGGATGAGGAGACAGGGCTGGTTCATTGCTAGGGGTATTGACTTGGGGTGTTCAAACTATTGCATATGACTGTATTCTATCAAAGTGAACAATATGCAACTTTTCATCCACAGCTGCTGATGTTACAGGCAAAAGAAGGAATTTTGAATCTCCCCTCTTTCCACACACTGGATTGTTTAGTGGATCATCTCTGTTTGGCCTCTATATTTCTGCACTCAAAGTCTTCTTTGAACAGTGGGCTGCGATATCACCCCTGCCCTGTGGAGGTTAATGGTGTTGCCAGCAGTTTTTCTTTATAGCTGTCACAATGTCTCACAATGGCTTGGTTTTCTCGCATAGACAGCTCTCTGGTCCGCATGTTGGTTCATCCTTTTCAATAACAAATGCAGTCTTCATAGGCGAAACCCAGGGCTCAAACCACCTACCAGTCACATATTCCAATATTTCTGCTCACTTGAAAGATGGGGTGGGTTCAACCAAACCATGTCATGTTCTGAGTTGTTTAACACATCTTGATGTAAATATCAGGGGATAAATACTGAAACAAGTGGCAAACTTTCCACGTCTTTCCACTGATGAAGTCCTTTGCTGTGTTGGCAGTGTGTTTTGCCTTCTTGTCTTGCTGCATGATGAAGTTCTTCTTGATTAGAGGAACGCTGTGGAGGTTGTTGGTGACATCAATGACTGTCTTTCTCTTCACAGCTCTTACAATGTTTCTGTCATCAACTACTGTTTTCCTTGGCTGTCCTGTTTGACGTCTGGTTGTCAGTGCACCAGTGGATTCTTTCTTTTGTCAGGACATTCCAAATTGTTGTTGTTTGAGCTACGCCCAGTGCTTGAGCAGTGACTCTGACTGATTGGCTTCTCATAAATGGCTTGCTTCTTTCCTAACAAGAAAAATCTGTCAAATAATTGGCCTTGCCATGCAATACTTTCAGAAGAGAATTTTATGTACACACCCAGCTTCATCCAGCACACTTTTGGTTTCAGTGTACTTTGTGTAAATTGTTGGATTCACAGACAATTTACAGAAGTTAGAGTCCACCTGTACACGTGGCATATTTAATTGGCTAGAATGTTTTCACTGGCCAAATATTACAATTTTTCTCTGCTGTAGTCTGATAACATTTGGGTTTGAGACCAACAGATAAATATGAGACGATTGATCAGAGTTTCAGCTCTTATTTCTTGATATTTAAGTCTACATACATTAAACAACATATGGCACCTTTGGTGACAAACCACTCAATGTTCAGTAATAAAAATATAAAACTATCTGTTCCTGTTTAAGTTAAAGTAAATAACACTCAATGTTCGGCTGCATATCCTTTGCTTGCAACAATTGCATCAAGCCTGTGACCCAATGTCATTGCCAAACTTGGTTTCCTTCTGTTGGTATTTGGCCTTTAGTCTCCTCTACAGGAGTTGAATTGCTGCTCAACTGGGATTAGGTCCGGCGATTAACTTGGCAAGTCTAAAACCTTCCTTGTTTTTCCACTGATGAAGTCCTTTGCTGTGTTGGCAGTGTGTTTTGCCTTATTGTCTTGCTGCATGATGATGTTCCTGTTGATTAGAGGAACGCTGTGGTTGTTAGTGTTGTTTATTTAGTGGCGATGGTGTTTAGATGTTGTGAAGAAAAACTCCGCCGACACTGAGTTGCTAGCAAAAGATTTATTACATAGTAAAACAGCATCATATCAAGCACTATAGAGCACCTGGGAGAGGATCCGTGCCAATTCTAAATGTCCTCCCCCGAACAGAATGACCAACAGCATATATATATGGTTCTTGTTGTTGAAACAGGAGACAGAGCATATGGTTCTTTTTAACATGATCTCATCCATTTGGACCTGAGAGACCAAGGGCCCCCAACTCACATTCCTAGCCCCTGCACAAACAGAGCACACAGGGAACTCCTAGATACTTGGAACTTCAGACATCAGCTTATACTCAATGTTAAGAGTGTTGTTGCCTTCTTTTATAAAACTACTTTTCTAAATACACCTCATTAGCGACATCCACTGTTCTTTTTTGGGTTTTTCTTCACAGCTCTCACAAAGTTTGTCATTAACTGCTTTTGTTTTCCTTGGTCATCCTGTTTGATGTCTGGTTGTCGGCACACCAGTTGATTCTTTCTTTTGTCAGGACATTCTAAATTGTTGTGTTTGCTATGCCCAGTGCTTGAGCAATGGCTCTGATTGATTGGCTTCTGATCAATAGCTTGCTTCTCTACTACAGACAGCTCTCTGGTCTTCATTACAGTTTAGCCTTTTTAACATCTAATGCAGTCTTCACAGGCAAAACCCAGGCCTCAAACCAAGAGTAGACATTCAGAGATATTAATTGTTAAGCCATCAATCTAACAGGGCTCACCTGGGCAACTAGAAAAACCAGTTAAAGATCTGGCTTGTCATACAATACTCTTGGACTATATGTCTACACCCAGTTTCTTCCAGCACACTT